ATATTAGATCAGTTTAGCGCGCGTTTTTTTTTCGATGGATTCTGTGCGTGAAGCAATTAAGTTTATTTAACTAATCTATCTGATATCATTATAAAATATAGTTGAGATAATAAGTGATTCGTGAATCGAAAATAGAAAAAATAGCAAAAGAATATTTTACTTCATAATATTTTGAATGCTTAACAAACACACTAATAAATACTAAAATCACAGAATTATTGGACACCACGAATGGCCATCAATTTCAAGTGTAATGATTGGAACATAACAAGCGAGAAGTTATCTCACTGCAGAGCTGTCACAATGTTTCTAGGATGGACTTTTAGGAACTTTCTACATGAACAAATCAGATTTGAAAACAATGGTATTGATAAGCTGATTACTGTAATACGTATTGATAAGCTAATTCTTGATTTATGTCTATTTAAAAATGCTGCTATTATTGATACTTTTCAGATGCTCCAACTGGAAATGGTGTGATTATACCAAAAATGTATCAAGCATACATTGACTTATACACCACTACAAGATATCGGTCAATTTTTTAAATGGAAATTGTTATATTTTATGGTAATTTAAAATAATTAGCATTCAAGCCTCCTCAAATTAGTGCAGTTAATAGTTTAGCAGTTTGTTAATAACTACTTTTTTATAATTTCTTTTTTTAGTGCTTGAGAACAAAATTTCACATCCCAACAAAATACTGAAGCAAATCGCTCGCAATATTTGTTTGATAACTGATGCTTAAATGTTTTAGGAATAGCAGTGATATTAAGCCTTCTTTACAGAAATCACCGGTGAATTTTTGAATTAATTAAGCACACTATGTTATCATTTGATAATCATTATAGATATTTTTAATCGACCATAAGTACTGATTACTAATTGATAATTATATTAGAATATGAAAATGGAAAATAGATGCTAAAATGATAATCAAAACATATCCATTTATAGTATGATGCTAAGTTTACGTTGGTGATTCACCGTGGATCTGTTGATTTCCTGAAGAATGCAGTGCAAATCTCGAAACATATCTGCAAACTGGATTCTAAAAATACTTTCTTCACACTCTTATTACGATCTCCTCATAATTGGCATGTTTACAATTAATTTAATGTTTACTTTATTAATTTTGCAGTTCTAAGTATTTCAGATAAAAAAATTTGATATTCTTTTCTTGATAAATATGCCTGCAAATTACAAACGCAAAATTATCTGATTCCATATATTTAGAATGTAATATTTGAATTTTAGTCAGCATTCTTTCCAGTGGCTTTCACAAACAACGTTTATAGCTTTCTGTGGAAAAGGTATTGAACGGACATTTCATAAATTTACAAATATTAGTAGAAAACATTTGAAACTTCAACTTCTGCAATGGAAGGTGACATTTCTGTCTTCTAATTTTTTGGCATTCATTTTGAGTGAATGCAAATATGTTCTGAAAAAAATTACAGATTATCAGTTTCAAATTCCACTCAAACAGTGATAACCACATTCGTATTTAGTTTAAAATATTCTCTAAAAGAGGCTAAGCATTTTAGAACCTTACTTTAAATATGGTAATATACTTCTTATCAATGATTCTATATTGCAGAATGAAATTTCCTTTCTTCAAACTCATCAAATCATAGCTTTTCAGTTTATAAATTCGTCTCCAATACCACGAAACAGCAGTGAAATATTCAGGTATTACTGAATTTGTTGATAATGATAACGAAAAATGATTACTTAATTTGTTGATAATGATAACGGAAAAATGATTACTTAATTTGTTGATAATGATAACGGCTTGGAAATGAACATGATCAACTAAAGTTATCAGTAATGATTTTTTTTAGAGAAATATTTGGAATTTGGGCTATGAATTCTTATTTTTTCTATCCTCTATTCAAAGAGATGTATGGAAGTGATGAAGCATATGGATTCAACACCTCCTCGTATTTCGTGATCATTGGCTTTAAAAAATTAACAGATTCGAATCATGTAATCAAGAACTAAATAAATAATCAGTGAACATTTGAGCAAACGTTGCGGATATGTTTGTTAGTGTAGAAATTGAAAACCTTTATAACTTCCAGTTTTATTATTAAATAAAAAATATTTAAGAACACAAAAACTCAAAAACTGCTCAAAATGCTTGCATACATAAAATTTTTTGTTCAGCTTATTAAGAAACGTGTGAAATGATAAGCAGGATTAATGACAAACACTGCAATACACAAATGCTATAATGAGAGAAAATTGTATAAAAGGAACGCATAAATAATTCAAGAATCAGATTGAATGAGATTCAAGAATCAGACTGCATGTTGCAAGATTCAAGAATTAGACTGGATGCTATTTACTTTTCTGAGACTGGAATTCAAGAGCAGTATGCGCGAGTACTGTTTAGCGCTGTTAATCCGTCCGTCAGTGACATAATTTTTGGTATTACTTTCTTACTAAATTGAAGAAGAAGAAAAAGGAAAATATATGTTAACATAAAGTTTACAAAAATAGAAGACATGTAAGAATATAATACAAGATTAGTTTTTGAATAGTTCAAAGTGCAATCACGAGATATAAGCCAGTTCAGAAGAAATCTTTATACATGGGATTTTCAATGAAAATAGAACAAGGTTCATGCAAGCTTGTTCTTATTGGAATGGAAGTATTTGTTCTTAACAAATTTTGCTTGTCATAAGTCACTTGCCTAAAACGACTATACCATAATTGCTTTAGATTTAAATAGTAATAATCATTTAATTAATTGGTGATTTAACTAATCAGTGGTGGTATTACTTGAAGTAAATCTTAACAACGGAAATAAGAAATAAATTTATATATTTGATTCATTTATTGTAATCATTTAAGGAATGGACAAACTGTCAGTACTGGTCATTTCACTATAACTGTTACATAACTGTTAGATTACAGATGATTTTTAAATACTAGTTTAAATAACTTACTTTCGATGTTTATTGAATGCAGTACTGTTGTAATTGCTATCTTGATTATCATTATTATATTTTGAACTCGAATATTTAGGAGCATAGCGAACAGTTCTAGTAACAGGACCTACAGGTTGTCCATCATGAACAGATATCAGACGACTTTCCTTGATTATTTTCTTACTTGGTGTTATTGAATAAGCTTTAGGATTGACATATCCAGAATGAGTAGAATATGGAAGGCTATAATCTAAAAAATTATCAAACTGAGGCGAATAATCTAAAATAGTAATTTTTCATATTTGAAAAGCTTGAAATTATATACATTTTCAATACAATACAGAAGGGATATTCTCATTATCAGTCATTTCTTGACCTATAATCTATGATTAAAATTAATTTACTTACAACACAAAACAAAGTGCTCAAAAGGAAATTTTAGTTCAAATGTTCGAGTAGCCATCGAATGAACAAATCATAAATTATCTACTCTTAAGGGAGTTCAGAAGCTCAGTATTATTTTTTTCTCGTATTTTTATATTTTCAAAAAGAAAAAAGGATAGAACCTTGAAAAGACGTTGCATTACGTGATGAAGCTAGATCAGTGTTTCTTAGTTTGTCGATTTCAATGCGTGGTATAGAGATGGGACAAACATCGAAAGGTTGTATTGTTGTGGCAGAACGATATTCATGATAATATGGTTTAGTATTTCTTCTATTATAATTACTGAGATGTAATTGTTTTGAAATATCCCTTGACGGAAAAGCCGAATTCAGTTTATTTATAGGGGTTATAGGTCGTACTGGACTTACAGGTCTTACTGGACTCACTGGTCGTGCCGGAATTTTGGGCTAAAATGTCAGTTGCTTTTCAGTTAAATAAATTATACGTTCATCAATTTTAGAATTAAGTTTCAAGTAAAAATGTAGTCATTGTTAGTTTCACCTCTTAGTTTTATCACATCACTTTTACAATCACTTACGTCACTCTAAAGTTTGATATTTGTTACACTCTAAGTAATTATTATAAGCTTTTCTAGTTTGAAAAAAGAGATAACACTAACTGACCTTTTTTCCAAAGCACATAAGAGCCAAATATATCTCATAAATGTTAGCTTATGTTTGTACAAAATAAAGAATTTGTCTTCTGAACTAATGTTTATCAACAGTTTTATGTAAATATTGAACAATTATTCATGTTTATTTTCTCTTTACACAAAGTTAGCATTACTTGAATACGAAGAATTCTGCAGCGATTTCATGAGATCATATATGTCAAATTTTTTTTGAATATTTTTTATTCATTTGAATAAATTTTTAAGCACAAATGATAGGTTTTATTTCTGCAGCTGCTAAAAATTTTATTTGAATAACCTTATGCAATGGAAAGTTCTTCTGAATTATTAAGTTGTCATATTATGCTTCATTTTATTTAAAAAAAAAATTCAATACATTTTACATTTTAATTACTTTTCTCGAGTCTTTGATGAGGATGAGATTATTTTAATATTTTATTTTACTTCTCGAAAATTTGCAACTTTGTTTAAAACTAAAAGTTAACTTTAAATTAAAAAAATTAATTTATTTTAATTAGTTATTTATTAAATTTTCGTTAACAGTATTAAAAAATAATTACTGTAGTAGCATTATAGATATAGGCAGTATATGAAAATTTTTGTTACCTACGTACATCTTTTTCGATCTGAATAAGTTCACCGTTCTTATCTCTTTCATACATTTTACGTTTTGTATATGTTTGGCAAGAATATTCTTGTTGCCGCTAGAATAAAAATTCAATAAAAACTTTGAATTTTAATATTTTACATGAAATTTAAATATTGTAAACCAAATTAAAAAATTTATTTGTACTTCTCAAAAATGACAAATCTATACGTTACATATTTTACTTTGCAAAATAATTGTTTAAAGCAAGTTATATTAGAATAATAAGTAAATTTTATTCTTTCAAAAAAGAAATGTTTTTAAAATGCGTATATGCACTTTAACTACATAACTTAACTTAACTTTACTTTACTTTAATTTACTTTGTTTTTTTTTTTACTTTTTATACGCATACCATCAACTTGTTATTCCTTTTGTGACAGATAAAAAAAAGACGAAATTATTTTTTATTTTTGTCATTTTATTACTTTTATCTAATATTTTTTAGATACTTTCTTCAAAACTAACTCCAAGCTCAGGGATATCGTAATCATTTTGATCACAACTTCCTGGAATTTCATATTTTTTGCTTCCAGCAGTGCTAAAATGCTAAAAAAGAACAAATATTTTCACTTCATGTCAATATATAATTCAAATATAAATCCAAAAATGAAAGATTCTCTGTTAACTTTTCAAATGATTCAGTACCCTTTCATGTTAGACAATTTGTAATATTTTTAAATTTTAGATAATTTGAAATATTCTTAAATTTTCATTAAAAGTTATATTCAGAATTACGACACTGCTCTTGGAATATATAAAAAAATAATTCTAGTCATTATAAACAAAATTTTTTATAACTTAAAAAATTTATAACTGATTTACTTTATATATTTGAGTATAACTTACCGGAACTTTTGTTCTTCTTGAATGCATTAATATATATATGAAACTGCCAAGTGCAAGTAAATAGAAGGCAAAAAATTTGAATACGATTCTGAAATAACGATACTTTTTGGTATTCTCAGTATAAAGAAGTTTTCTAAAATATTCTTCTATCATAATAATAGCTATAAAATAAGAATTTTGGAATCATTCTTCAAAACAGCAACAATAAGGTAATAATAATAACAATAATAATAATGATAATAATAATAATAATAACAATAACAATAATAATAATAATAATAATAATAATAATAATAATAACAATAATAATGATAATAATAGTAATGGTCATAAAAATAATGATAAATTCACAAAAGCATATTCCATCATAACAATCAGTACTTCACTTTATACGCAAAATATACAGCAAAACTTATTAAATATTAAAATAAGTGAACTGCAATTATGAATTTAAGATTTTAGAGTAAAGATTGGATGAAAAGTTTTGATGAATTTGAGTGAGCAACGAATTCACTCAAACATCTCCAAGTCATCTTCGTCAATTCTTCGTGAATTGCTAGTTCAAACGTAATATATTGACAATATTTACTTTTGCTGTACGAACAAACATATTGTCTTCCCTACCCTCCCAGATTTTCAATCTCTGAAGCTTAATGAGTGATACACTTTCAAGTACTATCTTTTACTGTAAATTAGTACTACAGGGTCAGTACTCCACAAATTACACGCATCTCATGTTTAATATTATAAGATGAAACGTATAGAGAATTGCTAGCTCGTAGTGTTGCATAATGAGACGGCTGAATTATTAAAAAGAAAATTCGAGTATACGCTACATTGAATCATAATATGAATATGCAAAAAAGTATCGAGAAAAGTAGTAGTTTTTGTATTTTGTCGAGGTTCTGCAAGTTTCACATGTTAAGAAGTACTTGTTTAGTGTGCTTCAGAAGTCAATAAAAGTCAACATTGTCAAGAAATATAATTTACCAAAATTAAAAGTTATTTTAAGAAATGCAAAGGACAAGAAAGTTAAAGTAACGAAAGTTTGCATGTGTTTGACTTTTAGTGCGAATACACCCACTCTGCACGAGTAGAGCATAAAATGATTGCTTCTTCTCATTACATTACATCTACTAATGAGTTCGAAGGAAAATAAAGTGGTGCGAGATGTATGTTTTCGACAACGAAATCAAATCAAAAAAATTCAGAAGTCAAAAACTGAATACTTTGTCGGCTTTATTATGCAAATTGAAATGTTTTTTTCACTTATTGTTTACTGCAATTGCTTGCAAATTTTTGTGCTAAACTGGATGTAAATATAATGTTTTTCGCTTATTTATAAAATCAATCTCATTTCAGAGTAATGGAGTAAAAGTATAGTCAAAGTACAGTTTTTTAAGGTGGAATCAATGTTTTATATGAAATGTTCCACGTAAAGACCTTCCTTTATTGTAAATATGTGATGAAAGTGACATATTTTCTTTACTTTACTACTTTTAAGTATTCGTTTTTGATTGCAGTTTTTAATCTTATCAACTGCTATTAGACTAAGTTTACTGTAGTTATAGATGAGGTCGCGAACGAAAAGTCCAAGTACAGATCATACTACAAGTCCTAGTAGTTCGAAATATATTGAAAGTAGTGATAGTAGTCGACATTCATCACCGTCATTAGAAAGACAGTCGAAAAGAAGTCGCAATGAAAGAAGAAGGACAAAGAATGCAGGAATTAAACGAAAATTGTCTGAAGATTCTATTGATGATTCAAGATTCTATCGAAGAAACGATGAATATTCAAGAAGGTATTTATCAAAACTGGATTTTAATCTTTTAAATATACGGAGATTTTTGCAATATTTCGATTCCGTTTTCATGAAAACGTTTGCTAAAGTCAATTTGCTAAAAGTCCAATCTAAAAGCTGCTGTGTCAAGTTTGATTGTGGAAGAGTTTGTAGTGATTTTACACTAGAAGTTAAACATTGATTGGACTGTGGTAGCGATGTAGATTCTTATTACTGGTGTTGTAAGTACTGAATAAGTTAAACGGAAGAGCACATTTTTTTGTAAAAAAAATGGTATTGATATTTTTGCCCTTCTACACTTTTAATTTTTTTAGACGAAGTCCAAAGTACAGTTACAGACATCGTTCGTCTTCACAGAAAGTTATTCATCGTCCACAAGGAACGAGTAGTAGGAAGGAACATAGGAGGCGAAGTAGTTCATCGAATGATCGTAAACGTACGCAGAGGTCTGGTTCCTAGATTTTACTCATCATAATTGTGAGATAAAATAGTAATTCAAGTCCTTTTTTTATGCTCTGTTTTTTTGTTACTTCAGTTATTTAGGAAGTGATTTCATATTCACGAGACAATATTTCTAGATCGCCTTATACACCAGAAAGCATTGAGGAGAGCAGTATTAAGAAAGAACAAAGTAGTGATGATGAATGTCAAGACAGCAGTGATCATAATCAGAATTTACGGAAAAGAACTGCTCGAGAAGATGCTTTATGGGCTGAGTAAGTTTGATTGTAAAGTATTTTGTCATAATTGCTTTTATCTATTTCTTTTCGTGAGCAGTTACTTGCTTTCTTATATTTATTATCTGAAACTTTGTTTTATTTCCATCTCTCTAACTTGAATACAAATATACTTGACGTATCATTAGAAAAACAGAGAGAAAGGAGTATTGCGTCTTCACTATATAGTGGCATTGGAAATATTGTAAAATTATAGAGTCTCATTTTCAATGTTCAGTATATTTATAAATAATCATAAAACTTTGTTCATGCATAAGTTTTATAAAATGTTGACTTTTTCAGTTGCCAACAGTTCCAACCGTATATATTGCATTATTTTCCACAACTTTGTTTGCATGTTTTTTAGTCGTCGTAACCAACGTGACAAGCGTTGTGAATGGGGTGTCCGCAGTGTCTGGGGTCGGTCACCTTTAATGCATGAAATACATGCAGTATATGAAGAGTGAGTATTATTATATATGTGGTCTTCAATGGCACTTATTTATTTATTTCAAAAATACTTATTTAGATGTTTAGTTTTCTATAAATTGTTTATAAGTATTAAGAGTAACTTACTAAGTTGATGAAGCAGTGTAAGTTTTTGAGCAAAAGTGGTTGTAGAATTTCTCGCATAAATTCTGCAGATACGAAAGATTAGAGGAAGAACGTCGACAAGAAGAAGAACAGCTACCGCAGCCTTTGAACTTCACAGGTATTAAAGTTACGAAAAAATCAAAAAAGGAGAAGAAAGAACGAAAGAAGAAACGCAAAGAGAAAAAGAAGCGAAAGAAGAAAGTTTGTTTTTTATTTACTATTGAACTAAATTTTAAATTGATTTAATTAAATCAATAATAATGTTTAATTTTCATTCAGTTGAAGTCACAGTATTTTAGCATGAGCAACTATCATCAAATGATGAAGATGAATGGGTTGAAGTGACTGCTGAGATGAGAAAAGCGGAAGCAGCTCGCGAGAAATTGGAAGAAGCCGAAATGGTCGGACCAATAGTACCAGATCACCTTCAGCTAAAGCATGCAGCGCTGGTTGATACTACAAAAAGAGTCAAGTAAAATTTTTATGATTTTTATTTCGTGAATTATAGTGGGATTTGATTACTCTGTATTTTTCTTCAGGTTCATTTATTCATTTAAATCAAAAAGGAAACTTCAGTCATGTAAGTCTTGCATATTGTAAACTTACTAAATTACTTGTTAATAAAGGATAAGTCTGTAATAATACTAAATATCGAAAATATGAAGGGCAAATCTTATTTTTATTGTTTTTCCTTTTTAGTTATGGAAAAGATATGTTGCGAGGTGAAGCAGCAGCGATGGCCTCATATATCGCACAAGGAAAGCGAATACCAAGAAGAGGCGAAATTGGCCTTTCTTCAGCAGAAATTTCTGAATATGAAAAGATAGGTTATGTTATGAGTGGGACAAGACATAAGAGCATGGAAGCAACACGTTTACGCAAAGAAAACCAGGTCATTTTTATCAAATTTGTAATATATCTTGAGTAGATGACCAGTTATAAGGGTATATAATTTCGTTCAGTATAAGTATATTTTTAAAAAAACTTCGACCTTTTATATAATGAACATTATTGAACGTTTTTTCTTTTATGTGCCACATATCGCACTGCATAATTTGTTTGCAATATCTTTAATATTTTTTCGATTTGTGTCCCAAATTATTTTATTTATTGTTATTAGGTTATGACTGCTGAAGAGAAGAGACTTCTTAGCGGCTTCACTCATGATGAGCGGAAGAAAAAAGAAGAGATTGTTTTGCAACAATTTAAAAGTTTTATAGAATCAAAGAAAGGGAAAAATTAGAATTTGTATATTCTTATCATACTTCTGTGTCGTAATCAGTGTATCAGTTCTTATTAAAATTATGACCTTCAAATTGACTACAATATTCTGTTCTTAAATTATAGTTATAAAAGATGCTCACTATCCTAATTTACAACGTATGATGCCAGAGATGATTGGAAGGAGAAGTGTAAACTAATGTAAAAAAAATAATGGGAAACAAGGTAGGATTCGAACAAATGACAGTAAGATCAAGTGCCTTCTTGTTCTGTTTTGTTTTAACAGTAAAGCGTGTATTCTACACTGCAGCGATCACTGCTGAAACGTTAAAGGGGAGTGATTAATGTTTCACTGCTTAATATTAACTGATAATGAAAAGTTTTTGATCAAATCCATAAAGTTTGTTTAATAGTGCGAGTTGGTTTCTTTTAGAATATTATTCAACTCTGAGTTTTGATTTTGTGGGTTACCTTGACTTTTGTTCTTTGGAGCACTGCACAAGCTGTGTCATTCCTAATTTCACTTCTAGGATTCTAGACTAGTTTAATGAAGGTAATTTTATTAATTATTTGAGTTATTTACTAGGCAGTCTATTAGATTAACAAGTCTACTCTGGTAGTTTGAGTAGTCGGAAGAGAAGCTGTATGCCTTACTTTTGTAGTTCAAGGCTACTACCTCTATATTTTGGTAGAAGTATGAGAACAATTTTCGATTTACGTGTTACTGTGAGGTGTTGGATTACTCATTATTAAAAATGAATAGAACATTTCTGTTCTTTAACTCTTTTTCGAAAATAACTGAATTCTTCCTTTTATCACAGGTAAGTTATTGCGTAACTGTTACCAAATGTTAACAAGCATTGATGTCTATCATTTTATGAATTGTGAGTTATCATATTAATATGTCAAAGCCATCATTCTCAAATTGGTATAAATTTAAAGCAGATAACTGGATTTATAATTAAATTATATTTCCACATTAAACTCAACGGTATGTTCCCTCTAATCATTTGGCTACCACAAAAAGGCAAATGCACAAAGCATGGAACAGTACTTTTCAGATTTGTTACGAATACATTAATGTTTGAATCACATTCACGACAAAAAATCTATTTTCTACCATCTTGAGTTTTAATTTCAGAAGTTGGTGAAATTATAATTGTTGAAAATATTAATTATTCATGATAATTATTCGTAAGAATTAAATTCACTTTTACAAAGTTTATCTCTATAAATCTGAATGAATGGAAAAGATTAAAATTAGGCTGTTATTTATTCATATTACTAATGATGATAGTGATTGTTTGCTGATGCAGATTAGAAGCCATCAAGATTAAGGCTGGTAACTGAAGTTCATTGTAAGTCATATATGACATAATTTTGTGAAAGGTATTTAATTTTTATATATGACAATTTTATAAACGAATTCAATTTCACAAATGACATATATGCAGTTTATCAATCAATTCTATTTAATCATTTAACATTTTTTAAAATCTAAAATAGTGCATAAATATTCAAAATAAAAATTGAAAATTATTAGACCAAATGAGAAAAGTGTATGCTTTTGATATGCTTAATGCCTGAAATTATTTATTTTTGAATTTCTTAATTACTAAAATTAAAAATTATGCAATTTTAATTTATTAAATATGCAAGTGATTTGTACGATTAAGCAAAAGATATGAAAAAGTCGAGGTTGCTTATCGCCAAGCATTACTTTCAACTTGCTTACATTCGCTTGCGATAGATGGATGTAATGCGAAAATCAAACTCTATCTATCTGCCTGTTGTGTGTTCAAAACTTCTTTACTTTAACAAATAAACTTTTGACGTAAAACTTTTCACTTACAAAGTTAGCAAAATTCTTTTTCCTACTAAATCTCATTATTTTCTTGCTTGTACTATTTCTTTTTTTCAACTTAATTTTTTTTATTAACTTTACTTACTCCAAACAATAATTTATTCTCTTTTATTAGTCAAAATCGGTATAAGCTTGTAACTTAATTAATATAAATCTTATATAAATTTCTAATTTTAATTTAATTAATTAATCTTACTCTAGAAACAAGACTAATATTAGTATCAGGCGACCTTTTTTACTCATTATTTGATAATGATGTTAATAATTTTTCATAGTAAAATGTAGTAGTAAAAATTCTTTGCTCTATGTAAACTACTATATACGTGATACGTGTAAACGTCTTTTAAAGCGATCAAAGACGCTGATCTTATTTCTTCAAGCTAATATTTGAAAAAGAAGGAAATGAGATTGAGAACAAAAAATAATATTATCATTTCAAATATAAAATTTTAAAAATTCGTAAAATATTAAAAAATAGTACTAAAACATGCAAAATTTAGAAGTATAGAATATAAAAATTAATGAGCATTTTTAGTTTTTGAAGTGTGCTCCAGCTGTTCCTATATTTCAATTTTTAATCAGTTTTTAACAGTTTTTTTGTTCTTTTTTTAGCATTCAGATTAAATTTGAAATTGACCAAAGTTTTATTTCTTTGCAAAGCTCAAGCTCAACATGAATTCAAAAACAACGGCGATTCGTGATGAGGTTGTGATATTGCCTACAACACGTGAGGAAGCCGTTGTCGTTGATCCTAATGTGGCATCTACTTCTGCGCAACCGATGCCAAAAAAGGTTAAAGCTTAATTCTATCTGATCACAAAGAAAAAAACAAATATAATTTACTAAATAGTTAATCGAATAATTTAAATAAAAATATTTTCTCATGTAAGTCATATAAATACAAAGTAATATAAATAAGCTTAAAGTCATCAGTATATGAATAAAATCTTAGATGGTTTCAAAGCCTAGTTTGAAAGGGATCATTAATCTCAAAAATAGCTTATTACACTTTTTTTTGCTAAATTATTTTTTTTGAAATGTCAAATTTCAAACTTTTCATGAGTAAAAATTTTTAAAAAGTAATTACTGAAGAATTTATTCAGCAAAGATAGTCAAAAATTATTAATTGTTGAAGCTATATTACTGTTTACTGCAGGGTATTTTGAAGCGATCCTCATCACACAGTAATTTCCCTCGTGAAGGTGTTGCAGAGCATAATAATTCTGAGCATCTGCATCAATTCAGACAACCTTCAGATCAATTTTCTGAACGATCTACTTCAAAAATTCCGAAATTAACACTTACATGGTCTGAAAAAAATGCAGGTCTCAATTGTATCATTTATTAATCCTAGAAGATTTAATTTTATTATACAATTTACAAAAATACAAATTCAGTTATAAAAATACTTTTTATTTTTATGAAATTATTATTGTAAAAACTTGAAAAGTAATTTTTATAAGAGCAATTTTCTATTTCTATTACAAACATATTCATGAGAGCAGCAAAAATGTTAACATAGTTAACTGTATTTAAGAAAAATGCTGATTTTTATAATCAAAATATAAAAAAAGATACTATGCGTGATAATTAAATTACTACACACAAAATATAATTACTAGTCAGTTTACGCAGTTATCAAGCATTGTTAGAATTTCTTTTTACTATAATTACAGTGACAATTTATGGAGATACTACATCAGATGAAGCGACTACGGAAACAGACGAAGCTCAGGTACCTGCAATTGCTCCATTCTCGACCACTCGTGAAACTCACTTATTACCACCGCAACCTGTTATTAGGTTGAATGGTAGGATTCAATTAAGTGAATAATTAATATTCTATCAATAAATGGTGATGAAAAAACTTTTTTAAGAAATTAGAGAGTGACTAATTTTACCTTTAAAAAATTTACTAAATTAGTATCTTCAAAGTTCAAGCTCAAGTGCTTCTTCACGTGCTACCACAAAGTAGTAACGAAATTTAGTGATTCATTGCAACGACAATATAAGATACCAAATTTTGTGCATTATCAACTGATATGGTGATAATTTTTTGCCAAATCATTAACAAAAACATTGCTAACTTAAGGATATTTTCATGACAACAAGCATCAATTTTTAATATTAATTCGAGAATTTTAAAATTATATAAAAGTAAAAAATTTTGTATCACGTTTACAACACGTAATATTTGTACTTGCAGTACGTAGAGATAAAAATGATAAAAATTTGGACCGACAAACTGCAATATTACACGACGATGAAGAGGAAGAAGAAGAAGAAGGAGAAGAAGAATATGTGATGAGAGAAGAATTTGAGGATTCACAAAGTAGAAATTTTGACGATGGACAGCATGAACCTGATGTCAGTAATGAACCTGATACTGAACTTAGCTCTGATACTACAAGTCTTGGTACTTCTCATATAGCTGGCAAATGGTGGTTTGGCAAAAGTACCAAGTAATTTTCATTTTAATAATACCTTTTTTCATTATTTCAAAATTTTTGTTAATAAAATATTAGCAAGTTTTAAAGGAATCATTTAAAAATATTAAACTAAAGTCTTTTACTACTAAAATTTGGGATTAATAATTAATCAAATAAATTTTTGATTAAAACTATATTAAGTTATTCAGGAATATTCCACATTGTGCTAAGTGGGGTTGCGGTCATGGCCGTCATGATAAAGAATGTACTAGTGATAACGGAGAATATTTAACACCGACTCAAAGACGCTCTCGAGAGATTCAACACCTTAGAAAGCAATTAAAGTTTATTTTTTTCTTATTTTCACAATTAAAAATTTTCATATTCATATTATTTAATAATAAATCCAATTCAATTGATACAATTGTCAGAAAGATACAGTTTACAGTTTTACAGAAGGAAAACAGACAAAAGTAATAGAGCAGTGTAAGTATCAGTCAAAGATAATTATACTGAATTCATTATAATATCAAATAATATTAGCAAACTTCGTGACTGTATTTGTGTTGTATTTTTATGAAACAGTAATTGTAATGATGAAAAAATTATAATATGAAGAGATTTACAGTTCACTGAATTCGCTGTAAAATAGTACTCAATTCAATTTTGGCTAAAAAGATCAACGGACTTAAAAATGATTACTTAATAAAAGATTAAACCATTGCTTTGAAACCCATAAACTGAATTTTATTACAGTTTATTTAAGATTGGCAGTAAGTCAGTTGGAAGATAAAGATTCGCATTTAAATGAACTTCGAGATCGATTACGTGACCTGGAATCAGTGATTGGTTGTACAAATACATTTAGCGAGCAACGTCAAATTATGCAGCGATTTAAAGGACTAGTTGAAAATTATGAACGTGAAAAGCAAATGATCATTAATAAGCACGAGGTAAGCGATAATGTACCAAAGAAAAAAGAAAATTTAATTTTTTTCAAAGTGATTAAGGCTTTTACTTTGTTGATTACATGAAGAAAAAATTTATAAAAGCATATTGATATCAATAACTTTTTAAAGTGAAATTGGCAGTAGTAACTTAATATCAAAAGTTAATTAATGAGATTGGTGCAGGTTTACAATCTCTATAAATTTTGAATTGTGAAAAAATGATCTGAAGTAGAATGCTTCAGTAAATCAGCAAAAATCATGATTCGACTTAAGTAAATCGGCAAAAACTATGATTTGGGCAAAAAGACTTTTTGGAATTGAAACATTTCAGATTCGAGTAAGACAATTAATTCAAGAAGCGGTCGATGCACGAGCAGAAATGATGAAAATTAAAGTTGCATTAAAACAGTTGCAAGACTCTAAAGCTGAAATGGAAATGAAAGAAATCAGCACGATGACTGAACCATTTGAAGATACGTCAGATTCTGTGGTACATCCCGAAGCAAATTTAGCTTCGTCTTCATTTCCATCTTCACCACAGGTTAGAGTCTAACTTTTTAACTTTTATTATCTCAGCAAATTTTACTTCAAAAAAGTTTAATCAACCATTTGATCAGAGAAAAAAGCAGCATTTTAGGCAGAACATATTTCTCAAATGCCAATGATTCCACAAGAGCTGTTACTTCAATTACAGGTTAATTTTTACTCGTCATCTCTTATTTCCGACTAATTATTTCTGTACTAAGTAAATTATGTCATTTTTTTCTACAAGCTTTATGAGTTGTAACTGTATTCAAAAATATTCTTTGCAGATGCAAATTTCCTTGAAAAAAATTTTGCAAATGATCCAAAAATTTGCATTTTTTAGGCATATGAAAATGAAGCGATGGTTTGGAGAACAAAATCTGCTCAGCTTGAAATCATACTAAAAGAGCAAATACTCAAAACACAAGGAATTAATCCTGAACTTGAAAAGTTCCGCTGTGAAAATGAACGCTTACGACTGTATATCAAGTATATTACACTTACAAATTTTAATTTAAAAAGTAAACATTTAATTAAAATTTCATATTTATGTATATTACTTTTAGCCAAAATGTGATATAAATATAATTAATTTTAAGTCATTTCTGTTATGTTTCTAATAATTTCACGCATTGTAAATTTATTATTGTTTTTAGTAAATTTTATAAACTTTTTCGCATATTTATATGCTAAATTTGATTGCTAAGAATTAAAAATCTTGAAAGTTTGGCTTGAATTTTAGGAAATTAGAAACAAATGCATCAGATTTCACTATGGTCGATTCAGGCATTGAAACACATCTGAATACGTTGTCATCAGTAGCAAGTACTGAATGTTACTCTCAACAATGCGCAGAGCATAAAAGGCAACTTTTAGAGGAAAACAATCGACTTCTTGAAAAAGTTTTCATTTTTTCATCAAATATTACATAATTATTAACAAAAAGATTTCATGCAAATCTATGAGAATTAAAATACACAATATCAGTTATCAAAAAAAAATCACTCAAAAGTGTATGATAATTTTTTAAGCAAATTAATTAATTAATGATCAAAAAATCAATGCAAAATCATAACTGATCAATAATTGTGATCTGTTATGATCTTCCTCAAAGAAAATATACTACAACTTATTTCAGGTAGAAGAACAAACGTTACAGTTTCATGAATACGAAGAAGATGCTAATCTTTTGCGCAGTAGTATTCATTTAATGGAAAATGAGAACAAGAAAAGTTTTTTGGCAATGGAACAAATGGCTAAAGAAATAGAAGAAAGAACTGCTGAAGTAAAAGCTGCTAATATGGCTGTAGTTAGATTGCAGGTTTCAGTATTTATCTAATATACTTTTATTATTAAATCGATCAATCAATCAATGAATACTGATCAAAAATTTGATCAAGATTTATTAATCAGATAGTAAAAATAGCTATTGAATAATTACACTTATTGCAGTTGATATTCAAGTCATAATAAATTATTGTAGAGTTTTTATTGTTTTTCACAAAATTAACTAATTTTAGTAAAAATTAATAATATAAGTAAAATTGTTGAATTTTAAAAATTCTTAATTTTATTTGACATAATTTTATTAGTATTTCTGTCGTAACGAAAATAGTAAAAGTAAAATTTGTTATTCATACATACTTTTTCAAGAAATAATATTTACTATAGAGTGAAGTTGCAACGAAAACAAAAGCAATTTGCTATTTGGAAGAACGTCATCAAGTATACAGAAACACCATTCTTGACCATCATTTAGTTATAAAAGATGAATGCACGGAGGACTGGCATCGAGGTTTTTCGGATCCACGTTACGTTGTTAATGTATCAAAACGCGTACAGACAGATCTTACAGAAGAAGCATTACGTAACAAAGAAGTAAACTTCATCAGCTTGAAGGATAAGCTTAAAGTATATTCATTCCTTTTTTCAAAATTGTCATAAAATTCTTTGCAAATGGTAACTTTAGTCTACTCATCAGTAAGCGGAAAAGCTGAACTTCTTATAATTATTAAATTATTATTGGAGTGATTTTCGAATTATGAATAAACTGACTGAAAATTAGAACTTCTATTAAAAAGTAAACTAATTAGATTCTGTAACTTTTTAATTACAGAGATTTTTTTTGAGCAATTACCAAAATATATTTTGCATAGATTTAACTTTGATATTCACTTGTGAGTCCCAGCAAATATAATTTTTAAATTTAAAAATCAAGAGATAAACTTTAGTAATTTAACTTGTGTTGCATAAAGTTTGTTTATTTAGGAATTGGAAGAAGAGTTTTCATCTAAAAAAAGTGATATGTTGGACCGATTCAAAGAGATTGAACAGGATTTACTAGCAAAAAGCGCTTTGGTAGATTTGCTGAGCAGCCAACTAGAAGAAGCAGATCGAGAAGCTGGAAAATCTTTTGAGCTACATCAGAAGGAACGCGAAGCTTTCCAGGCCAAAATATGTGAATTAGGAAAAATTGCTGAAAATGTTCCTGTGCTGAAATTTGAAATTGAAAAACTTCAACGAGTAATTTTACGATATCTTCTTAAATCTCAAATTATGTATAGTTTGTGTTCAATTTGATATTTGAATGCGATTACAGCTAAATTTAACTAAGAATTAACAATCGTATAAATTTAATTGCAATCTGTTAACTGCAATATTTCAATTGAGTATTAAGCCAATACTTACTACTACGTGTTACTGTAATGAGTATGAAGTAAGCTTCTGATCTAGACTGCTAAAAAGGTTATTACCTGTTTTTTTTGCTCAATTATAAAATTTATTAGCGGTAAAGTTTCAATAGCTATTATGAATTTAGGAGCGAGGTTTACTTGAGTATCAGCTAAGAAGTGCTAAAGAAGAATATGACGCCAGCTTGGAAATGACACTAGCAGAATCATTGAAGAAATATCAAAAACAAAGTAATTACTGGGCTGAAAAAGTGTCAGCTTTGAATGAAAACAATGAATTACTTCGAGTATATGTTGATAATTGCTAGTTTCTGTTTACAATAAGTCTAATTTTTAAGTTTTATTATTATATTTTTTAAATTTCCCAAAAATATTTACTTAATTTATTGGTTATATTGAAAAGTAATTTTTTATACCCTATTTTTATAATAACTGGAAAAAACCGATAGATTTATTCATATTTTTTGTTTTAGAAAGAAAACGTTTCCTTGAAGCGTGCAATGGATGAGCTTAAGGTACGCACACACGTGGGAGAAGCGGATTTAGCTGAGAGACTTGCGTCGAGTATAGATCATATTTCTTATTTGAAAAAACAAGTATATAGTTTATATTTCTTATTTAAAAGTTTATTTTTTATATCCTAAAATTAAATTTGAATAGGAATGATTTATCTATTTTTGACTAATTTGTTATTATCAATTTGAAATGATTTATTTTTATAGTGTTGAAAATTTGCAAGTATATTTGTTGTTGTAAATTTACTGTACCTTAATTATATAACATCTTGTTGAATTCTTGAATCATTCAAGTTATGTGAGATATACAAAGCAGGAGTTTTTAATTTTGTAGCTAAATCGTAGTACACGTGACGTGCAAGTTGATGTGCACCCGCGTGTTGTTAGTAAATATGTAGCATGTCGGCCAAATGCACGTCATAAAATGACAAATATTGAAAAAGGTGATCTCTATGATGAAGTAGAAGAAAGACTTAAACTTTGTCAAAGCGAGCTGATTACTACTCGTCAACAAGTAGAATCACTGCAACAAAGACTGGTAACTAGTTTTATACTTTTTAAATTAATTCCTTAAGTTTAAATGAAATGAGTAATACGATCAACGGCATACGTGAACTTTTTGTAGTACGACACACGTGAAATCTTTTGTTAGAGGAAAAATCTCTTTAATAATTTAGTATTTAGTATTCGAAAAACTTTTGCGATAATAGTCTTTTAGATTTTCATATTTTACTTTAACTAACATCTTTTTTAAAATATTTTTGAGTGATAATAATGATGATAATATCAACAATAAAAGTATTTTTCAATAATATAGATGTGGTTATAATAAGCTGACTGTTTTGTATTAGTACGAGTTTCTTTATTAATCAAAACTTTAAAAAATCTTTCTGTGATAAAGTCTTCTTAAAATAACTTGCTTCAATGTTTCTTATTGCTAAATCATGCAAGAAATTATATTTTGTACATAATTTGGAACAATCTAAATAGTATAACAAATAATTCATATTACAGGTCGATGACTGTTCCCTACGAGCAAAACTTGGCTTATGTGAAGTTCTCAATGCAAATGAAGAATCAAGTTGTAATAAAGCTGAACATATCTTTAAATTACAAGTTAAGGAATTAGAAAAAGAAAATTATGATTTAGCCGTTCAGCTTAATGAGGTAAAAACAGAAAATCATAATACAGTTAAAAACTTCCATTCTTAATTTCAGAATCCAATGATTTTCATAAATTCCAAATCGACTAAAAAATTCTTAGATTATTTGCATATCTCCTCTGTTAAGTGAAGCAGATATTGTCCAAATGTTTTCACAAACTATAAATTAAAAAAATTTTTCAGACATTGATAGGAAGCGAGGCTAACCAACAACAATCTAAAATCCGTTTTTCAATGCTTGAAAAGTTAAAAGCAGAACGTGATGACTTGCTTCAGCGTTTCAGGAATACTGCTAGCAGAAAAGATAAACACAAAACACTTCCATATGAACATAAGTGAATCTAGAATTTATTTGATCAGTGCGCAAAGAAATTATGTTTTTGTTAGTATGCATTTTACAGTAATGGTACTAAAGTTACAATATAACATCTAAAAAAACAAAGCTTTATATTAATAGTATTTATGTACTATTTTATTACATTTTTAGCTGAAAAAATTAAGATTTGAATACTTTACAGTTTGCCTACTACTCTTATTGACAAAAAATCATTCGAGGGTAATCAAGGAAAAGATGAAATTGATATCCCAAATCGTTTTAAAAGGTTAATAATTGAACGATTTTTGAAATTATGCCTATCACAAGCAAATTTTATGCAAATTTTTAACTTTTCAGAATGCAAACGTTTTTTAAATGCAACTTTAAGAATTTCTAAAAATCATATTTGTTATCTGTAATTGTATAATATTGAACTGTCTTCAAAATTCTTATTTTACTACTTAAAAATTCCAAAGTATTTGTTTATTATAAGCTGAAATTATATCCTGATTGAAAATATGTTCTGAATTTTATTAATTTCTCACCTTACTTTTGTTTCTTGATGACAATTTTTTCGGTTGTTCAGATATTTATTAAAAGATTTAGTGAGTACAATTTGCAGATGGAAGTCAACGCCACATTTATTTCAACTCTCATCATTTGGCATTTCTTCACTTACCGCTGCTTCAAATGAAATTTCAACGTTACGTGAACGGAATACTGTTCTCGCGCGTGAAAACGCTAGGCTTAATAGTGAATTAATAACGATAAAACATTCTATTGAATCATCATTTCAACTTCCATCTGAAGTGTTGAACAAAAACAGAGCCAGTGAAGCTTCTGCAACTAGCAGCAAATCTTCCGAATCTAATTCTGATTATCCTGTTGATCTCAATCAAGTGAATGTAAAAAAAATTTAAATTGAAGCTAAAAATAGTTACCTACTTCATTTATTTATCTGTTACTGAGTAAAATAGTAATCAAATGTAATTAGCATAATTAGCAAATATGAGCAGGTTTTGAAAAAATCATGAATAAGTTTCGAAAATATCAAAAATATCATGATAATTTTATAGTTAAAGATACAAATGCCCCAATTAGTCATTTTTATTAAAAGTTAGTATTCTGTAAACATTAAAAAATTCCTATAAAATTATTTACTAAGCAAATGTTTTGATTTTCAACATTATTTTTCACTGACTTTCCAATTCTTTCCTAAATGTATTGCAATCTTTTTGATAAAATTTACTGTTTTTTCTCATATTGATTAATTATTGATAGAATATATCACTATAACATTCTTATCATGGATTATTTTAACTTATGATTTTATTAATTTTTAACTAAACTTCGACTCTGTTCATGAATGTTTTATTACATTTTGGTAGCTTTCTACTTTTTAAAATTTTGTCAAAATAATAACCTGTTATTATGCGTACAATATAATTTTAAAAACATTTTGCAGTCAGAAGAACAGCGTTCATCAAAGTCAAATATTACCGAATTCGAACGATTAAAATTTGAATTAGAAAAATCTCTGAAAGAACAGGAAAATCTCACTGCAGAGTTAGATCGAGTAACATTTGATTTTCAAGATGCCTGCCGTGAACTGAATTTTTACAAACATGAACCACGTGAAGAAGTACTTAAATATCAGCATAACATTCGTCTACCTAAATGTAGAAGCTTTACTGAAATTGGACGTGCTACAATTGATTTAGATGAGCATATTAGGTAAACCTCCACAATTTAATATAGTAATTGATTGTATCTAGAATTACTCTAATTTTTTCTAAACATATTTGTGAAACTACTTCAATTACAGTTTTAAATTCAGTGTTTGTGGACATCAAGGAAGTTTATCAGATACTTTAGATGGAAAGAAAAAGCTGGAACAATGTTTCGTGAGTTGAATCGGATTCGTAAAGAATATTACGTTTGTGATCATGAACGACGTGATTTACGCCTTCAGCTGGTTATGCTTCGTGGTGAACTTGGTTTAGCTCAATGTCAGCTTGCTGAATTAATGTCTGCGCATCGATGTAATAAACAACGTATACGATCCTCTGCAGTTCCTGATGTAAATTACAGATCATTCGCATTTACTAAGCATAAAAAAATGAAAACAGTAAGTTATTTTCATTTTAAAAAAATCGGTTTCAGTATTCAATAACGGAAGACAAAAAGTATTTTGATTAATGAAAAATTATAATTAAATCAATACGTGAAAATTATTTAATTATCTCAGAGAAATTCTTGATACATCTTTCAGAATATACTAAATCCATCATCTGGGACCTTTCTGGCTACTTCTACCTTAAAAAAATCTTACGATGGCTTAATCTTTTCAATAAGCACACCTGAATTGAGAGCAAATAGGTCATTTTTTTTCAATTCAAACAATCACCACTGTATTTTGGATAATTTTCTAAAAACTAATCGTAGTAATTGTAAATAAGGAACATGAAGCACTGATAGACTAATTTTAATTTGTTTTAAGAACATGATAAATTTTATGTGTCACAAGAATATACTCAGCATTATTTGAATTTAAAACTTGTGTGTTCGAGGAAATTTGTTTAAATAATCATTGCAAAACATTTATGCTTATTATCAAATATTTAAGGAATTCAGAATTTTGAGAGAAATCAAAAGTTCATAAAGATTTATTTTTAAAATTATAATAACAGTCATTTGATTATTAAAGTAAGAGTTTTGAAAATAAAGTAAAATATCCTTAGTAAGATGCTTTTTCATTTCGAAAAGTAGATCATATTGTTATTTATCTTCAGAAGTCAATTTTGACTGTATGGTTGACATTTACAGGTTCGAAAGTACTCGAGAATATTGTTTTTGTAATGGTGACAGACGGAATTTATACCTAACATCGTGTTGTCGTGAAGAATCGTTTTTACGTAATGAAGAAACACGACGTAGTTTAGGAGAACACGATGAAATAATCAAAGAAGCTGCTAAACTCCAAATAGCATCATTACGATCTGAAATCGAACGTTTGCAAAAATGCATCGATGACAAAATAAATCAAAAAGTAGCTTCAAATTGATGATCTCGATTGATCAGATCAAGTTTCTGGCATAGATGCTCGGCTTTTTCACTTAATTTGAATTATTATTTTTAATTAATTTGAAGATAACACTGTCAACAATAAAATTACAAAAAACTTCAACCTTTGAACTTTATTATCTTGATGAAAAAATATATAAATTGCGTTCATAACACGCATATTATCGTGAAATTATTTTGAAAATTGGCCAATTAAGACTCTATTTCTACAACACAAATTATTCAGATGACAGTTTTAAATAAAAAGTGACAAGTAATAAAAAATGAGAAAAATGAACTGTTTACAGGAAGAAGAAAGTTTACGACAAGAAATAATTGAATTGAATAAGAAAAATGAATCAATACAAGCAGATTTACAATCAAAAAATTCAGAACTGGTTTGATTTTTGACTAAAAGTATTCGAATTCTGAGATTGTCTAACAAATAACAAGTTTAATTTTCAAAAATAATATAAAATCTTTTAAGGAATCTTGGAAAGCGTATTCAGAATCACGATTCTTGTCTTATGAAGAGCAGAGCATGTACGAAAAGCAAAAGTTATGGAATATTGAGAAAGAATTGGAAAAACTTAAAAAAGAAAAAGAAAAGTTAGCAGAAGAAAAAGTATCTTTTTTATTTTGCATTTACTACCTAAATTTAACAAAAGAGACGTATTTAAGTGAAAGTAAAAGTAAAAGTATACTGTAATGATAAACTGCTCAATTTTGTTGCGTAAATTAAGAATCAGTCTAAAAATTGCTGACAAAATTTGATATAAAATATTGCTAGAAATATATTACGATTTGTTATGGAAATAAACACTGCTGTAATGAAAAAGTATTTTCTCACAGCACAATTACTTCATTGAAAAAATTATTGGCTCGAAGAGAATTTTATTTGAGACTGAAAAACAACATTTGTATGAAACGCGAATTTCGATGCTTTCACGGGAAAATGAAATGTTCGTGAAGAAAATTGATGATATGACAAAAGAAAGACAAGAAATGTATTTAGTGATGTTCAAGAAAGGTCAAGAATCAGTAGAAAATAATTGTGACAAGGTAAGAAAAAGATGTTTCACATAATATAAATATTTTCAATGTGAGAATCACGTGGAATGTTCATAAACAGTACGGCGACAGTTACATAGACTTTGACTGGCATTCTTGACACTTTTATTAGTATGAATTCAAGAACGAATCGAAAAATCTGAACGTTTTATAAGTAAAATTATAACAAAAGCCTTTCGACTGTTTATAACTACTTTATGCTTTTGATGAAACAAAAATTTTTACTTTTTATCTGAATAATAGCAAGAATG